CCCACCTGCGTGACGTAGGAGAAGCAGTCCTGGAACTGGTCCCGGCGCAGCGTCCTGCCGTTGACAGACACCTCCCCGAGGAGGGTGCCGGTGCGCCGAAGCCTCCCGGATACGGCATCCAGCAGCGTGGTTTTCCCTGAGCCTGGAGGCGACACGAGGAGGCCCTGGAGGAGCCCTCGGGGGACCGTGCCCCGACTGCGCGGAGGCCTGGTCCCGGGGTCATGCTCTCAGGGCACAGAGAAGCGTGTCCTGTGAGCGACAAGCCATTTGTCTCGGGCAGGTCAAGTCTGAAGATGCTCTTCCTGCTTATTTCCTTTGAGAGGGAAACTATAGGATCAGAATAAAAGGAAGGACGGGACTCTTGGAAACATTCGGCTTCGAGGACGTTTCGATGTCTTTCTGTGGTCCCCTGGGATTGTCTGGTTGTACCTGCCTGTAGGTGACGTTGCCTTGCTGACCAAGTCCCTGGGTGACCTCTGTGTGTGTATGACTTGAGAAGCACCCTCTTATGGAGTCCTTTGCTGAGACCAAGCTGGCCTCATCCTGAACCAGGAGCTTTGGGCATAGCTCACCACTTGTCACTAGGGACGTTCCTGCAAGGACTTCAGATACACCAAGCAGAAACCTCGGGAGATAATAAAGGATGTTTTTGTTGTTTTAAGCCACTATGGGAATTTGTTTTATTTTGCATAGAAATAGATAACTAATTCAGTCTTTCAACTGGTGTCAAATACTTATTAGCTAATGAATGCAAAACCAGCACAAAGCTTTTCTAAGGATAGAGAAAACTGATGTGTACAGTCAGTGGAGAAAGTAAGAATAAAGTAGCAATGTTAAACACATAAATGGTGAATTCCCTGAGAGACAATAAAACTATGCTTTGAGGGAGTATTTCTCTAGCAGGGCAGAAATAATTTGTAACTAAACATTCTGCAAGGAAGCACCCATCCATCCCAGAGTATAGGTTCTAATCAGTAGCAAACAGTGAGTCACACAAATCCCCCTAATGCGGTAGGTGGCCTGCAGCAGGCTTGCTTCAGGCCACACTGGTGAGACTTTGAACAGTAAGTCATCTTTTCCTAACAAAGACTTGATAGATACATGCTGCTCAGAACTACACAGCAACGGGATCGGGTCATTTACTGAAACACTACAAGTGTTAATTAGACATAAAGACATATTACCATTAATCCCTCTCGGAATATTCCTCCTTGCTTCAAACACACCATTCTTGCCACTTTCTGAAGCCATTCTGGAAGAAATCTTTTCATGAGTGTCTATATGATGTGTGATCAAGGCTTTCTGTACGATGTGCGAATGCTGCTGCTGAGAGCCATTCAGTGGAAAGGCAGGCTTGTAAAGAATCACAGGGTGTGGGCTGGGGATTTAGCCCAGTGGTTCTGCCACCTGCCTCGCAAGTGCAAGGTCCTGAGTTTGATCCCCAGTACCGCCCCCCCCAAAAAAAAATCACAGGGTGTCCTCGTCTGCCCTATTCACCAGATATGGCACCATGTGAGTCTGGCTCTTTCCCAAAGTCAAAAATGACCATGAAAGGTCAACATTTTGAATTGATTCCGGTCATCCAGGCAGCCAAAGCAACAAACTAAAGACACATGAAAGAAAACTTCCACAGCTGCTTCAGAAAGTGGCAAGGATGATGGTGTTTGTCTGAAGCAGGAGAGAACATTCTGAGGTGGATTAACTACAGTGCACCTTTTACTGTAATAAACTTGCTTTTATTTGAACATACCATATTTTTCTATCACACCTCATACATTTAATTTATTCACCCATTTGTTCAACAAACATTAAACACCTACTCAGAGAGTGACCCTGTTCTAGTATTAAGGACACAGCAGAAAAAAAAAAAAAAAAAAAAAAAAAAATTCCCACTTTGGTGGAGCTTGCATTCTACTGCAGTTTCATGTTTAGTATAAAGCACAGGCGTGATAAAGCCATGATTAGGTATAGCATCAGACACCAGGCCATACCCCCAGATCAGGAGCGCCAAACACTGTATGATGAAACGTGCACAAAGCACGCTATGTATGTCACCCTTATTAATCCACATAAAGAATGCAGTGCATTGGCCAGGGATTTGGCTCAGTGGTTCTGCCACCTGCCTTGCAAGCGCAAGGACCCGAGTTCGATCCCCAGCATCAAAACAAAAAAGAATGCAGCAGATTATTATAGGGATAACTCAGCTTTTTTTCTTTTTAAAAGAGCATGTTATATTTATCAAAAGGAAAATTAGAGTGATCTTGAATATTATGATATATGTATAGTCAGAACGTGCTTTAAAAATGGAAATAAATCTGGGCATGTGGCACACATCTTATTAGCATTCTGAGAGGCTGAGGCAAGAGGATCACAAGTCTGAGCAGACCCTATCTCAAAAAAAAATGTAGATGTAGTTCAGCGTGAAGGTCCTGGGTTCAATCCCCAGTACCACAAAAAAAAGTAAAGAAATAAATACAAATAAAAGGAATAAGAATTAATGGGAAATCTTAGAAATGTGTAATAGCTTTAGTTAGTGGTGTGATCTGAATGTTAGATCTCCTTAATTCTTTTGTTTGTTTGTTTGTTTGGTACCAGGGATTGAAGTTGGGACCTTGCGCTTGCTAGGCAGGTGGCGGAACCACTGAGCTAAATCCCCAGCCCCTAGATCTCCTTAAAATTCAAATGCTGACCTCTTTACCCCCAAGCTGATGGTAGGGTTGGAAGGTAATTAGGTTTTGGGGGTGCAGCTTACCTGAATGGGATTAGTGGCCTCATAAAAGAAGCTCGAGAGAAACCCCTCATCCTTTTTACCAGGAGATTAGATTAAGAGGCTGTTTACGAGGATCAGCTCGTATGGCACATGAAATCTGTCAGCATCTTGATCTTGGACTCCCCAGCCATTAGGACTGTGGGAAATCAATTTCTGTTGCTTCTAAGCCACCCAGTATAGAGTGTTTTGTTACAGTAGCCCAAGTAGATTACAGCAGTCAGTGAGCTCCTTTTCATTTGGTCTTCAGATCCTACTGTTCCCATCCAGTTGTGCCCCTGCTATAGCAGATAGTGGTCATCGATTTAGTCCCTGCGTGTAGAGGTTGGACTATCTTTGTCTATCTTCCATTGCTATACCAAAATGCATGAGTTGGGTAATTTATAAAAAGAAGTTCATTTAGCTCAGTTTTGGAGGCTTGAAATTCGAGATTAGCCAGCCCCATCTGCTCAGCTGTGGTGACAGCCTTCTGGCTACATCACAAACACCAAAAGGTATCACAGCAGGATGACATGTAAGAGGGAAAGACTATGTTGAGGCGGGAAGCCAGAGGGATTCAAAGACAGGCTTGTTTTTTTCATAACAACTTTCCCTAGTAAGAAGGAAACGGGGTCCTGAGAGAGCCACGTCATTCCCTTCTGAGGTTCCAGCAACTCTTAAAATTTCCATGCTGGGGACCAAGCTTCCCTCACATGGACCTTTAGGGGACACACTCAAGCCACCTCCCAATCTGTACCTTCCCTCATTTTCACCTAAGGCTTAAGTACCCTGGCTCTGTTAAAGAGAGTAATGTGAATGAAGGGTGGTAGTAAATGCCAACAATTTGCAAGCAACTGTGCAATCAAGAGACTTCCATGAAGCCGACTTGTCAGAGTCCTTAACCTAAAGACAGACAAGACAACCTCGCCTCATGGTGGTGTATACAAGCCCACTCTTCAGGGCCAGTGTACCCACCCTCAGTGGCTGGCAGCGTCAGCTCTGAGGATCCTGAGGATTCTCACCTGCGACCCTCACAGAAAATTGCCCTCAGCCACCAGAAGCTGCCTGTCCAAAGGCTACACCTTCCTGGGACAAGGGCTGGCCAATGCAGGGACACAGAGACAAGCATGCCTACCCTTGAGGAGAGGAAGAGGGAGATGACATGGGGAACAGGCACAGAGATGGCTCACTGCAATCTATAGTGTTTAATTCCTTCAGAGGGGAAAGGACCCCAAGAAAGGATGGCAAAATGTTAAGATTTGATACGGCCTGATATTAGTATGTGAACACTTCTCATCTGTATTCTTGGCTGTAAGTTCGAAGTATGTTGTAAGTGAAAAAGGATCTGTGGAATCAAATACAGGAATTAAATGGGCATTTTGATGCTTATTTAACTCGTTTTTCTGTCTTTAGTCAGGGTAGCACTGAGGGAAATCATGTTTGTTGGGCACCCTGTATGCCTAGCATGCATGAGACTCTGGGTTTAGTCCCTAGCATGAAAGAGAGAGAGAGGAGAGAAGTTGGGGGAGAGGAAGAAGGAAGAGGAGGAGGAGGGAGGGAGGGAGGGAAGAAGCAAAGACGTGCTAGGTAGGACTTTATACTCTTTCAAGGATCTTTCTCACGGTTTCATATTGTATCAAGTTCCATTCACAGTCAGATGTGTCATTAGATTTTATTCTAATATCAAACTTATGACCTTGAACTTAAACTTATTTCTTCAACCTGGAGCTTAACTCAAGCCACAGGCTTTACAGCATGTTCCCTAAGAACCAGAATGCTCCTCCCTAGCTTACCTGAGCTCCCTAAGATGCACATGATCTGCCCACTCTCCACATACAAGGAGATGTCTTTGAGGATCTGCCTGTTCCATCGCTGCCAGCAAGATGAGATGTCCCACCAGCGCCCGACAGAATAGCTATAAAGAAAACCACATTATGGCCAAGGCAGCGTGGGGTCCTGGGAGGGACCAGATCAGGTCTCCCAGCGCTGCCCCCCAGCTCTGCCCTGGCCAGTTACTTCTGGACAGGATCGTAAGTGTGTGGCCACCTCAGTGTCCTGCTCTGCAGGCCCTGGCTGCAGGCTGGCACCACCCACAGAGAGTGCCTGCCCAGCAGCTGCTGTAAATGTCAGGTCTCTGTCTGGCTGTGCAAAGGCAAACAGAGCACTGTTTATTCCTAGGTTGACCCACGTTCCTTCACCAGGTTTTATTCCACCTCATGCTCCCAGCCCCGGCTCCCTATAGGTCCTCTCTATTCACATGGGGCAGGCTCCAGATAATGAGGAAGGGGTGTGGGCCACCACAGGAAGGGTAAGAGGCAGGGGTAGCCCTTGTCTCTCTCCCCCGCATCTACTAAGGAAGCAGCCCCACAGCACAGGCCCACCTTACCTGACGCTGTAGGAGATATGCAGGACACTTAGGCTGTGACGAGTCCTGGAGGCTTCTGTAGGATCTTCCTCTAGGGAGCTCTGGTGATTTCCATGTGCTTGGGGCTCCGAGGCCCCATCTACGGTAAGAGAAGAGAGCTCACTCATGGCCAACAGACAGCACGGGCAGGTGAATTTTCTGGTGGCCTGGCCCTCTCTGGAATGGCTTCAACTGAGTTGCCAGAGACAGAGTGCCCCACCTGCTTCTTGCCAGCCTGGACTTGGCCACGGATGCCATTATCAGATGTACCTTTAGCCGGAGCGTCCTTATCTTGACAGCAGGGAAAGCACATGTTTGTAGGAGGGCTTGCCAGAGAGGAATGCTGGGAGAGATCCTGGCACTGCCAGGAAAAGACCAGGGCACCCAGCTCTAAGGAACCAAGGGAGAAAGCAGACGCCAAAGGCCACAGGAGCTGCATCAAAAGGGCACAGAGCTGGTGGGCTCATGGCCGGGGAAGCTGCAGAGAGGAAGCTCTGGAAGGGGGCTGCTGTCCAGGATGCCTTGGTGAGTGACGGGCTGGCTTGGCCCGGCAGGTAGGGAGGAACTGGACTTTTCTTTCCTCTCTCAAGAGTTTCTGCCCTAATCCATCACCTGCACCACAAACAGAGCAAGGATGTGGCAGCAGGGATCCATTTCCTGGGCGTCAGAGGGCAGAAGGGATCAGATTCAGGGCTATGAGACTCTGAGGTCATTTCTGGCCCTCAGACCTGCTCCCATAGGGGAGTGATGTTTCTGTTTGCGACCTGTGCGGATTTAGCATTTTCCCCAGAGGAGGTTCCACCACAGAAACATATTCACACAGACCGGGAACTCTGCTGGTGTCACCCCTGTCCATGTGGCTGTCAAGCCAAGATTCTCAGGGGCAGTAAAGTGACAGGGGCAGCTGAATGACCATGGGATCATCCAATTTTATGCTCAGAATAATCAGGTAACTAGAGGATCTTGGAGAGAGCTATGAGAAACAAAGTAGAGGCATGAGGTGCCCTCCCTCATTTTACCAGAGATGTGTTTACTTGATAAACAGCCTCTGACTGGGGAGAGTGGGAGGTGCTTCAGGCAGGAGGCTGCATTGGAAGACAGAAGGAAAGCAGGTCCCTACCCCACCTTTCTTTACTGGTTGTGAGGAAAAGTAGGAGAGAAAGGCAAGAACAAGAACTCCAAGCAGGGAGTGGTGGCGCATACCTGTAGTCCCAGCACCCGGGAGGCTGAGTCAGAAGAATTGCCAAGAGTTTGAGGCCAGCCGGAACTGTATAGCAAGACCCTGTCTCAAAAACAACAACAAAAAAAAGAAGTCCAGCAGGGGGCACAGGCACCCAGAATGGCATCGAGTTACCAAGGTGAGACCCAGTCAGGCCCAAGGAGCCCAGGTTCTGCCCTCTGAATTCCCCTGGGGCCAACCCCTAGGAGTCTTCCCCTAGCATGTGCAGTATTTAGAACTAAAAGATGAGGACCACGTATCCTTTATCTCGATCCTTAAAAGCTCTCAATCCAGCTCAAACCTATGTTAAAAATAGCATAGTTGCTGACCTCTTCCCTTGACATGCCCTCCTCACAACCTGGAGGCCACCCAAAAAGGGGGCGGCCCTGGATTTAGCTCAGTGGTACCGCCACCTGCCTTGCTAGCACAAGGTCCCGAGTTCGATCGCCAGCACCCAAAACAGAACAAAACAATTAAAACTCTGACGGGGGGGGGGTCAAGGCCGGGGATTTAGCTCAGTGGTTCTGCCACTTGCCTTGCAAGCGCAAGGACCTGAGTTCGATCCCTGGTACCAAAAAAAAAAAAGAAAAGAAAAATCTGGGGGGTCCTTGGAATGACAGCTAGAATAAGGGCAGCAGGAGAGAGTCTGCCTCTAGTTCATGACATAGCCTGTCCCCTCCTCTACCCCACCCCCGGCTCCACCCCACTCTTCAGTGCAAGGAACTGACGCAGTCCTTGTGGTCACCTTGACCTACCCACTCATATTTCCTCCATGTCCTCCACAAACAAATGTGCTTCTGGCCTCAGGGTGCTGGGTTAGGAGGCAGCATCAGGGCACCGGAAGACAGGCCTGGGAGGAGATAAAGGCGGGCCCTGAGAATGGAGTTAGGGCACTGCGCAGAGGATTCTGGCATCAGGTACTTGGAGTGGTAGGTGCCTGTGGCCCACAGACTGCTTACATCATGGGCAGGATGTGACAGAGGAGGACAAGAAAGGTCTGGGCGTCAGGCCAGAGTTGTTTGAGCTCTGGTCTGAATGTCCCTGGGTCCAGGACTGTCCTCTCAGCCAGGAACAACCCCTGCATGCCCCTGTCAGCCACAGGTCCTTAGCACATCACACCCTGCCCTTGCCCAGCCTTCTCCTTCAAGTTCTCTGAGTTTCTGTCTATGCTTCTGATTCAGGAATTTGATCAGAAGTTAATACATGGAGAAATGACAATGTAGCCCAGCAGGAGCTGAGCTGGTTACCTACAAATAAACCTGCTTTTGCTTTTTCGGGTGTCACCTGTCAGAAATTCAAGTGATGTTCTGACAGTCATACTGATTAAGATGTCAGCCGAATAGATATTTAAGTATTTGAAAAATAGAGAGAGTTTGTCAAAACCTCAGGAAGAGTCTAACAAATCCTTCCTGGGACCCAAGGAAAATATTTTAAAATGGAACAAGTCACACCCAACTCAGGCACAAATTTTCCTCTTCCAAGCCTGAGTTGCCTGTGTGGTTCCCACAGGGCTGTTCCTTCCGTGGTGGCTGGGGTTCAAGGAAGGGGCCTGGGACAGGCCTCAGGACAGGACCTGTGCCCCTCTCAAATTTTTGCCTACCTTCCTTCTTGCTCCCTCTTTCCGTCCAGACCCCAAATGCCCTCTGCCTTCTGGTCACAGTGGACCTGAGGTCACCTCCACACACTGCTCCAGACTCCAGATGTCTGCTCTCCCTTCTTTAGAAGCTCCTTCTCCCTAATCCAACCTGCGAGCTTTGGGCCCCACCTGATGCCAATTGTTCAACATCCCTCCTGCAGATATTTGCTTTAAAAAACAACACAAGATGACAGGATCCTCATTAGCCCAAATGAGTCCCCACCAGGTGATAGATTTTTCCGAGCACTTAACACAAAGAACCAGCGAAACCAGGCACCGGTGTGGTGGAGGTGGAACCAGGGAAACCAGGGCTGCCCATGACCTCCCCAGAGTTCGGTCACCCTCACAGAGGACACACACCCTCCCCGCTCTGCCTTGGGCCCCACCTCTCCCTCCCTGCTTTGGCCTGGGGGTCAAGGTGGGAGCGGAAGCTGGCGTTCTAGCCATGGGATTGCTCTCTCCTTTGAAAACATATTGTGAAATATTTCAAACAAACCCATTGACATAGGGAGCCGCCCCCCCACTCCCCACAGCTTTGAAGCCCACCGGCTCCATTTCCTGTGTCTCTCCCCCATATCTTCCCTGCTCCCCAGAGATAACCCCTTGCCTGAGTTGGGTGCTTGTTTTTCCCGGTTTTTTTTTTTTTTTTTGGATAATGTTGACAGTAGTTCAAAACCTTAAGTGGTTTTGTTATACTCTCCCCGAACTCCGAACTCTGGGTTCTGCTCACAAGGAGACCTGGCATGTCGCGAACCGGCGACGCAGAGCACTGTCCCGCAGTGCCTCAAACCTGAAAGAGCAGCGGGGTGGAGATGGGGCAGAGAGAAAGGAAGGACGCCAAGACAAGAGTCTGATCAAGGCGACGTTTATTGCCGGCAAGCACCGGCCTTTTAAAGGGAAAGGCCGAACTATTATGGGCTAGGATCACCATAGTAACCTCAACACCCGCTCCACGGGAACGAGGGTTCACACGGGCCTCAACACCTGGTCCACGCGGCCCGGGAAGCTCGCACTCTGCACAGTGGTCCCAGCGCGCCCCGCCCGCCTCCCACGCCCCTCGCCCGGCCCTCGGGGCTGTCCGAGTTTCTCCCGTGCAGGGTCAAAACAAGTTTAACACGTGCAGTCCTTAAAAAGGAACAAATGTTGTCTTTCAAAAAGCCAGTGGGCCATGGCTGGCTTCCCACACTGGCATAGCTGGGAAAGTCGCATCCAGGGGGCCTCTCACCTCCACTATTGCAGGAGTACTTTGACAGAGACCATTGTTTGCTATTATCACCTAAGGCACTGGTCCTCTCCACAATGAAGCGATCCCTGACCAGAAGCTGGAGGTCAGTAGGCCTTTCTCCCTGGCTTACTCCCTCCTAAACCCTACTCACACTCAAACCTAAGCTCCATAGAGATGGACTCTTTCACTGCCACACCTCAAACTCCAAACCTGAAGCTCTCACAGCTTGATTGGAGGAACGGACCCAGCTGTATGTTAGAAAGATAGTTCTGCAGGCAGGAGGCCCAGGCCCATGTGAGCTTGTAAAAGAATCTATCCCTGGTCCTGCACTTCAGAAACAGGGGAAAAATGGAGTGCCTTGGACAGCAGAAATCTCATAGCTTGGTGTGGTGGCACACTCCTGTAACCCTAGCACTAAGGAGGCTGAAGTCACAGGATCACAAATTCAAGCCTAGCCTGGGCTACATAGCAGGAACGGACAGAGAGAGGTGAGATAAAGGCACCAAAACACAGTTAGGAGGAATAAATTCTAGCATTGTGGTTACTGTGGTTCACAACAATTCATTGTAGATTTTATAAAGAACCAGAAGAGAAGGGCCGGGGATTTAGCTCAGCGGTTCGGTGGCCTGCCTTGCAAGCACAAAGACCCGAGTTCAATCCCCGGTACCAAAAAACAAAAGAACCAGAAGAGAGGAGTGCTTTGTATAGGCAAGCAGGCTATGCAGAGAAATGGTGAATTTTTAAGGACCGGAAATTCTCGTTGACCTTATTTGATCATTACACATTTTATACATTGTCCAGTTATCACACTGTACCCATGCATATGTATAATTATGTGGCAATTAAATATTCACCAGCCTCACTGTGGTGTACATATGTGGGGTGATGGTGACAGTGACCTTTTTGAAATCCTCCTGGAGCATTCTTATGGCGAGCCATTATGGTGAGCCTTGACACAGGCCTAGCCATGATTGAACTTTGAGTCACCTCGCTGGCACGGATGTGCTCTCGCCCATAGCCACGCGCGAGTTCAGCTGGTAGCAGATGTAACCCATTATGGTGGTTATTGTTTCCCTCTGGAATGTGTGGGCGGTACCCTCGCTCCCTCGCTCCCGTGCAGCCCTCGCTCCCTCGCTCCCGTGCAGCCCTCGCTTCCATGCAGCTGGAGAGTATAAAAGGGAGAGGTTCTGTAATAAAGCAAGCAAGGAACATGAGAAGAAAAGTGCCTCCCGTCTCTCTGTCCTCGGCCTTTCAGGTTTAGGACCTGCTGGCAGGATCCTGAGGTCGCGGCTCGCGACACATTCTCACCGGTTTTGTTGCACAAAACTTCTCATCAAAATACGATACAGCCAGTTGTGGTAGTGCACGCCTATAATCCTCTCATTCTGGGAGGCTGAGGCAGAAGGAGTATTAGCTTGGGTCCAGCCTGTATAAAACAGTGACTCAGGGAGAGCCTGTCTCAAAATAAAAAATAAGAAAAGGGCTGGGGATATAGCTCAGTGCAAATGCCCTGGGTTCAACTCACAGTATAGCCAAAAAAAAAAAAAAAAAAAAATACAATTTTTCTTGGGAGGTGTCGTCGTGGATATTGAGCATTATTAACTTGCTGATAGCTGTTTTCCTCCCACAAGCTGAGTTGGTTGCATCAGGAGATAGTAAGCCAGATGAGGGGAGGAGAAAGCTCCAAGATGAGGGTTTCCCAGCTCCAGGCTCCAGCCTGCCTAGCCTGCTCCCTTCAGCCTGGAGTCTGCACAGCGTTCATCCTCAGCTGTTTCGTCCAGGCCCCCTAGCCTGAGGCTGAGGTTGTCAGAGCAGCAGCTGCCCTGGGGAGGCCTGTGCTCTCTGAATGGAGAGAGAGAAATGTGCCTGCCTTGTCACTCCTGTGCTCTCAAAGTCCTGGCTCCACCTGGGCGAATCCTGCCAACCCTGCCAGTCACAGCTCCTGCCCCTCCGCCCTCCTCCCGACTTCTCCTGCATCCCCAGGATCCCTCACTTGTCTGTCTCCCAGCAGGGCCTCCAGGACAGCTTGTTCTCTGAAAATGACAACAGCCTGTACTTCACCTACAGTGGCCAGTCCAACACCTTGGAAGTCCGAGATCTCACCTACCAGGTAGGGGTGCACACGCCTGGGCTGAGGGGACCGCAGCAGGGAAAGGGGGAAGGCGAGGCGAGCCCATCCTGCAGACTTCGGTTCCCAGCATGGACTCAATCGGGCACACACCCCCCCCACCGCATCCACTGGCTGCAGGCCCTGCGACTTCTCTGTGTCACCCAGGTGTGGGGGAGAGAGGGGAGAGGCCAGGAAAGGGCCGGAGACTCCTACAGAAACACAGCGAACAGTGAGAGCCCTGGGGAAAGTCTCTAGAACTCTTGACTTTAGATTTGGATATAATCTTAAATTTTTGAAAAAGTTCTAAAAATGGTACCGTATTCCTACATGGCCTCTGTTCGGCTTCCCCTCGTGGTAACATCTTGTACTCCATGGTATAATTATCAAAACTAAGAGATGAACAATGTACAATGCTACTAACTCAACCACAGACTTTATACGTTCAGATTTCATCCATTTATATGTCTCTATAGTTTTCCCCCGCTTTGGTAAAATGTGCTGTTCCCGGAGTCAATGCAAGGACAACCAGCAGTCTTTGAGAGGTTCTCAGGGAGACCCGCACAGAGTCAAGGACCACTCTTTCCCTACCTTTCTGGAAACCTGCATGCTGCCCAGAGGGAACATGGTGGGGCCTGTGATGGTAAACTTCAGAGGCCCAACCCTGGTTTCCCATAAGTGTGAGTTAGGATGAGCTAATGAGGTGCACTATAACTTTCTCTCTCTGCCACTTATTAGCTGTGTGACCTTGAGCAACTTACTTAACTGTTCTGAGCCTCATCTATAAAACACAGATTCTAATTGTATCTGTGCTATAGATTTGCAATGATGACTGAATGAGATAATGATTAACATAATGTTTTGCACATAGTAAACACCTCAAAGTGATTAGTAAATTACTGTCATTAGGTGCAGTCATTCTGTTTTTTTTGGTTTTTTTTTTTTTTTTCCTATTCTGCTGTTGCACCTAATTTCTAGTCCTTTTGTCTCCAGATTTGGGAACAGCGGCATCAGGTTCTCAGGATGGTGGAGTTCCATTTCCATATTTGTTTTTGTTTCTGTTTTTGTTTTCTATTACTAGAGATTAAACAGGGCCTTTGCACTGAGCTGCATCTCAGCCCTTTTTATGTATTTTTAAATTTTGAGACAGGGTCTGGCTAAGTCACAAAGTTGCCAAGGCTGGGCTTGAACTTGCAGACCTCCTGCCTCAGCCTCCCAGAGTGCTGGGATTACAGGCGTGCAGCACTCTGACTGGCTGCACCTCTGTGTTTGAGAGAACCTTGGTGGGGAGGGCTTGGCCCCTTGTGTATCAGCAGGGGACGTCCCTGCTCCCGAGGAACCCTCCGCCGTCTCTCCCCCTGCAGGTAGACATGGCATCCCAGGTGCCTTGGTTTGAGCAGCTGGCTCAGTTCAGGATCCCTTGGATGTTGCACAGCAATCAAGTTTCTGGTGAGCTGGGCATCCAGAACCTGAGCTTCCGAGTGCAAAGCGGGCAGATGCTGGCCATCATCGGGAGCTCAGGTAGCGATGCAGGGGAACAGGGCATGGGGCAGTGGCTTCTGTCTTCTGGGATGCAGAATGGTCCTTTGGAAAAATGGATGTTTCTTGTAGAACTCTTTGCTGACTAGTAGACCAAGGTAGAAAAGTGGCCTAGAGGGACAGACCTGGGCCCGAAGTCCAGCTCCTCCCTTTACAGCTCTAGATGCCTGGCACTAGTACGAATCATGAGCTGCCTCCTGTCCCCCAGAAGCTGCAGGTGCAGTGTCTGTCTCTAGACACCCTGGACCAACGGGACCATCAGGCAGCTTCAGAAAGTCATGTTCGCTGCTGGGACTCCTCCGACCACAAGGGCACTTGCTCAGGTCATGGCCAGACAGTGACTAGGCATCGCTCCGCCACTGTGCCCCCGCAAAGCTAGAGCTCAACCTTCAACCTCTTGCAAAGAGCCAGATTTGGGATTGCTTCAAACAGACACTTCCCCAGAGAAAATTTGTAGTTCCAGAATGTCAGGGCTGGAAAGCATTTTTGGAGGAAGATTTTTCAAATGACCTAGTCCACACTTCTAGAGTGTGCCTTTGCCCTCCTCCACACACACACACACACACACACACTCTCATTCCCCTGCATTTGATAGATGAGGACACTAAATTGAGTTTTTCTCCTAATGACACAAATTCAATGTGGAGCTAGAACTTGAACTTTGTTTCCTGATTCTAAGAACCAAGCGTTTCCTCCTAGGACATCTTACCTAGAGTGAGAGCACTTTATACCTTTTAATTAATCATTTCCAGAGGTAAAGATTACTCAACGTATTTAACATCGACTCCAAACTTTTATACTCTTCTGATAGAGAAGATCTGTTTATTGTCTAACCAAAGATCAATGAATTACTATCTGTAAATGCACTTTGTAACTGAAACAATATGCACAATCATTAAGCCCCTCCCACTCTGGCCCTGATGCTGGGATTCTGACCTAAACAGAGATTATTTTGATATGTGACTTCCGGTGGTTTTTCTTGTTTTATCTGCCTTTTTCTTCCTGAACTGAGCATCAGGGGAGACGGGAGCTCTTACTGACAGTCATCCGGGTGAACGAACGGTCGGTGCATGTGACCCTGGCTGGGAGTACTGTACCTCTGATATATGATTAAGGAAAGTGAAGTCCAAGAGGCTTGGCAGGAATAAACTGAGTAATATCCGGGACTTTTGACTACATGTTCAGTGTTAGTTTCAAGCTACTTAGATTAAATTATTGAAGCGCATAAGCAGGTGTATACATTATATTTCCTGTGACTTTTATTACACACACACAAACACACAAATGCTGGTCATAATTATTTTTTTTAAAAAATAGCCCCAGGCATTTAGTGTCCTTAACAGAATCTGCAATGCTGGATGTGTTTTCCAGTTAACGAATTTGGTGGTAGGGAGATGCCAGCCGTTCTCCCAAGGTCTTGAGTGTCCTTAGGTATTTTAACCTAGAGCATCTCTCCAAAAGCACTGGAAAAGGCTGCCCACACTTCTAACAAAGTTTTGCTTAGAAAATATGGTCTTCCCGCTGTCTGACCAGGAATCTCAAGTCCGCTGTGAAGGCTGGTGAAATCTCCTCACTCCTAGACCCCGAAGCCAATGTTCCAGGCTGAACAGGGAGCAGGCCTGGGCCCCTCTCTCTGGTTCCTCTCCTATTTGTTCCACCTAAATTCTCAGGGCCCTAAATGAGGTGTACCTGTGAGGCAATGGGCAGGCCCCTTCCGCTCTGCACCTCTCGGCAGTAAGCAGGAAGATCACATTGGGCAGGACTTCCCAGGCATTTTGTAATTGCACTTGTTTGAAAACAAGCCGGAAGGATTTAGCTCAGTGGTTCTGCCGCCTGCCTCGCTAAGCGCCGTGGACCTGAGTTTGATCCCTGGTACCAAAAAAAGGAAACTAACTTGGAAATTTTTCTTTCCAAAAAGAATATACAACAAGTGAACCCAAATCCTGTCCAGGTAACTGGGCAGGGCTGATTTTCAGCTCCACTAGAGGAAAGGGTTTGCAAGTCTGAGCCCAGTCTGCACTCACAGTTCAAATCATTGTCAAAGAATGAGCCTCATTGAGCACTCCAGTCTGACGCTCAGTCCCCCAGATCAATAGTAACTGGTACATCATTCAGAAGTAGACAAAAGTGAGTGCAGTGGGCTTTGTTTTTAGAGAGAATAAAAAGTGCTACTGATAAGAATAAGAAAGAAGGGTGGAGATACCTTCAGAACCTATGTATATACTGTGCTTTAAAATCATTTCTACATCTATTACTTCTCCATTATTTTTCCCCTTTATTTCTCAAAATAGGTTCTGCTTTGCATTTTTAGAAGATACTCTATGAATGTTCCCAGTTAGTCCTTCCCACAGAACCAGTTTCTGAGCCAAAGGACAATGAATGATGATGCACAGCTGGCAGGTTCGCCAGGCAGAAATAGTTCCACTTCATGGAGCAATGAACCCCAGCCTTGCTGGAGAGAAAGCACATCCGTGTGGGAGAGAACATAGGCTCCAGGTGCGGGAAGGCCTGCAGCAGTCGGGATTCTCCTGTCACTCAGCTGCTGGTTGACCTGGCGTAAACCCCAGTGCCAAGGAGTCCCAACCTCCCAAGGGTTCAGACAAAAAGCCTGAGGTTTCATGTCCAGGGGCTGCCATGCCTGGGCCAACAGGCAGTGCCACCTTCCCTGGGGCTTGGTTACTTCAGCAAGGGTAAAACAGGCCAGGGAGCTGGAGAGCATGTGGGGCACAGCAACTGCCCCCTGATCCCTGCAGCTTTGCCCTCCGCAACAACTCTGGTCCCTTTGCAGGCTGTGGGAGGGCCTCGCTGCTGGACGTGATCACTGGCCGAGACCATGGTGGCAGGATGAAGTCAGGTCAGATCTGGATCAACGGGCAGCCCAGCACGCCCCAGCTGGTGAGGAAATGTGTGGCCCACGTTCGCCAGCACGACCAGCTGCTCCCTCACCTCACTGTCCGAGAGACCCTGGCCTTCGTCGCCCAAATGCGCCTTCCCAGAACCTTCTCCCAGGCTCAGCGCAACCAAAGGGTAATGCAGCCTGGTAGGGAGCCACAGTGTCTAAGAAGTCAGCACATCCTTACCCTCTGTGCCTCAGGATTCAGCCCAGGAAGAGGCTAAGCAGCCCGGCTCACCATACACCTGCTGAAAAGAGTCCTGTGCTCACCTCACTTGACCAACTGGGCCTGGGGGCAGACACCTTTTATCCCAGCACTCTGGGAGGCCGAGGCAGGGGAATTTGCAAATTTGAGCCCAGCCTGGGCAACTTTAGTAAAGTCGTGAGACGGTGTCTCAAAGTAAAAAAAGGATTGGGAGGTAGGAAAGTGTGAAGTCTCTGGGTTCAGTCCCCGTTCTCCCCCGCATCTGTCTCTCTCACACACACAGAGCCATCTCAGTCTCAGCCGGTTCCTTTCACAGCATCTGTCAAATGTGCCATGGGTTTTATGTGTTTATTTGTGAGCCTGTCTTCCGGTCCTCCACGTGGGCAGGGAGCCCAACTGTCTGGTCCCCAACACAGGGCCCGTGCGTGACACAGTGACCCGAAGCTGGGGACAGAGGCAGGAGGGACGCTGCAGCGAGGGGACAGGGTTCTGGAGCGCCCTCCTCCCCGCTAAGACCTGGGCAGAGAAGCAGGTCTCTGAGCTCCGGGCCCGGGTGTGCAGCCCGAGGCTTTGACGCCCGCTCCCGCGCAGGTGGAGGAAGTCATCGCCGAGCTGCGGCTGCGGCAGTGCGCGGACACACGTGTGGGCAATGCTTACGTGCGCGGCGTGTCTGGGGGCGAGCGGCGGCGCGTCAGCATCGGGGTGCAGCTCCTGTGGAACCCAGGTGAGCCCCTGGCAGAGCGGGGAGAGACCGTCCTGGGCGCAGTCGGGTCACCCTTTCTTCTCTGTGGTCAGGAATCCTCGTCCTGGACGAGCCCACCTCGGGGCTGGACAGCTTCACGGCCCACAACCTGGTGAAGACCTTGTCCCGGCTGGCCAAGGGCAACAGGCTGGTGCTCATCTCCCTGCACCAGCCCCGGTCCGACATCTTCAGGCTGTTTGACCTGGTCCTCCTCATGACCTCAGGCACCACCATCTACCTGGGGCCGGCGCAGCACATGGTCCAGTATTTCACGGCCATCGGTCACCCCTGTCCCCGCTACAGCAACCCTGCGGACTTCTACGGTGAGACAGCAAAGCTGGTGGCTGGGGACCCGGGACACAGGGCTGTCCAACCCTCACCCCAGACAGGTGCTGAGAAGATTTAGGAGCAAAACTGGCAGGTGTCAGGGGAAGAGGAGGAGGAGAGGTAATGGATAGACTGGGTGGAGGAGAGTTGACCAAGGACAGAATGCTGGAAAGGACCTGAGCAAAAAAGCAGCTGTGACAGCCGCCCCTCTGTGCGGGGTGGGAACTGAGCAGAGGACAGAATCCGGGAATCTGATGACTACATCAGGCCCTACCGAGCCATGGAGGCTGCTGTGCCGCTGAGTGCAGGGCCCAGGGCCTACATGAGGGTTCCCTGAATGTGAAAATTGCTCTGCTGGCCCAGGCTTGCCTCTTGGGTCCTGAACACTCAGAATTTCTCAGGTAGTATGAATGAGCCACTTCCTTCCTTCCTGGGGGGAGCGGAGGCCTTTTGAGGGCACTTGCCCTGGGGGGACACCACAGAGTGCTGAGGCATAGCCTGGCTGCAGGACAGATGGCACAGTGGTGCCAGGGCTGGGGGAAGCAGCAGCAGCGGCTGGTCCCACAGGCCCGCTGGACCCCAAGTTCTTCCCAGGATGGCAAAATGTAGTGAGGAGCTCACAGCTCCATGGATGCCGGGGACGTTTTCCTGAGGCGTCCATGAGGGTCCGGAGTACCAAGTCCCTGTCGCTCTCCTGTTTGACCCTCACTCCCTGGAAGGACTCAGCCCCTTGCCTGTGGTGAGAGAGCTGCCGGATAAGGGAGCACAGGGCACCTGCTAGCATGGCCTCTGAGGGCAGTTTGAAGCACACCTAGAGAAGTCAAATGCCCGTAGCAGACTTAAAAACCTTTTTTATTTTTATTTTGTTTTATTTTGTGGGGAGTGGAGAGACAGGGGTCCTTGCCTACAAGTCCTGGGGCAGGTGTCCCTTGCCAGTCTGGGGCAGAAGATCCTACAGGGCCTGAGGTTCCCAGCAAGTCTGGAAGAAAAAGAACACAGAAAAAGATTTCTGAGACCCCTCCTAGATATGATGTTGGCTTGAGATGTGTGGTAGAAATGGAGAAGGGAAGAGGAGGAGGTGACAGAGAGACCCCCTGCTATGCTGAGGCTGGGAGGAAAGAATGGAGGGAGGCATAAGGTGTGACTGGCCTGGCACCAGCTGGGCAGAGGAAGGCCCTGCTGTGAGAGGTGGAGTTGGCCTTGCCGGCCTTGCCGGGGCCTTGGAGGTTGAAGGTCAAGCACTGTGGGAGAAGGGCTGCAGTAAGGGGCTCCCTGATGCAGAGGATCATTTCCTGGGATGCCAGAGGTGGCTCTCCAATGGGCCTGGCTTCCCAACAAGGTGGCCTGACTCCCGCCCTGGGACCAAGCAGCTGACAGGGCAATAAGAGCTCTCTGTGTACTTGGCTGGTCCCTGACTTCCTTCAGCCAAACCTGGTCCTGCCGTGGGCTGGCTGCTTGGAAAGCCAGATTATTAACTGAGAAGATGTGTCAGGAATCCCCACTTTCCCAGCCTTCCTCCTCACCCACCATTCTTCTCCTGAGCAGGCTCTGTGAGGCTGAGCCTTTGTCAGAAACTTCCTAGACAGCCTGGAATCAGGGCCAACACATAACTGATGGAGCCCCTGCCGTGAAGGCTCCTATCCTCCTGGGCTCTCTACATAATGGGTGCTGGGACTGGGCCAGGGGTCAGCCCCAGTGTTCAGGCCAGGCAGCCCCGGAGATCTCTGTCTCTCTCCATTTTGGCCATTGCTTCATGGGTCCTTCTCAGAGAGGGGGAGGAATGTCATAGAGTCCCCAGGGCTGACAGTGTCAGGAACTGGGCCACCCATAGCCTCGCCTCTTTTCCTTGCAGTGGACTTGACCAGCATCGACAGGCGCAGCCAAGAGCAGGAAGTGGCCACCAGGGAGAAGGCTCGGTCCCTCGCGGCTTTGTTTCAAGAAAAAGTGTGTGACTTTAATGACTTTCTGTGGAAAGCAGAGACGAAGGAGCTCGATGTGGGCTCCTGTGTGGCCAGGTATAAAGGGCAGGTGGCTCTGGGTGCAGAGCTCCCTCCTGCAGGGCACTGGCCTGATCTGCCACATTCTGTCTCTCACAGCCCAACCCTCCCGTGTGACAACTACCAGACTCCCACTGAGCCATCCTGCCAGACTCCCAGAGAGTCGCCTGGGGTGGTACAGCAGTTTGTCACCTTGACCCGGTAATTGTCTTTCATTGTGTCCCTGGCCCCAAAGTCTCTGTCCACTTAAGCTCTTTCTATCTAAAGTGAATTTGGGGGAGGAAGCAAGAGGTAGAATTGCTTGAAAAACAGCATTTTTGGGACCACATCTAACCCTCCTGTGATGCATTGTTACTTTTATTGTCTGGGCAAAATTAAAATAGCCTCGGTGGAACAACCATAAGGTCACTGTGAAAAGACTCAGATAGTACAGGAGAATCTAAGCTGGAAACGGAAGCACTCAGAGAAAGCCAGGCCCACATGCTCTGTGTCTTTCTACGCATTCCCATGTACAGAAACATTTGAATTCTCAGGTGAAATCGAACTCTGTGTAAGGTTCCACGGCAGCTTTTTCTCACTTAGAGTAGCACCTCCGCCTGTCACCTGGTCAGATCCTCCTCGGCCTTCTGGGTAGCTCGACTGTAAGCCGCGTGGCTCCTGGGAATGGTGAGGTTATTTTCAGACTTACTGGCCCAGGTAAACACTACAGCAAACATCTCCATACGTCTTTATGGACCAAATGTTTTTTCCCCGCAGCATAGTTTCTGTAAGTAAAATTACCAGGCTGTTCCTTGATGAGAAAAGGAACAATCCTGAGTGTAGGACTGACTGTGAGGCAGATCTTCTTGTCGGTTTTCTCATTGACGCCTCATAGAAGCTCCGAGAATGGGTGTTCCTATCTCCATGATAGAACCGATCCTTCCAGAGATTACATGACATTCCCTAGGTCACAGAGGCTATGTTGTCCCCCTGACGTCTCTTTCTTTTTATTCTTTTTTTTTAAAAAAGTCGTCAGATTTCCAATGATTTCCGAGATCTGCCCACCCTCCTCATTCACGGGGCAGAGGCCTGCTTGATGTCTCTGATCATCGGGTTCCTCTACTTTGGCCACGGGGACGTCAAGCTCTCCTTCACAGACACGGCGGCCCTCTTGTTCATGATCGGCGCGCTCATCCCTTTCAACGTGATCCTGGACGTCGTCTCCAAATGTGAGTGTCACCCACTCTGGGCCAGGTGGACCTGGGTGTCGGCGCCCTCCCAGCTGGCCTCTGCACTCTTCTGATTATCTGGCAACTACAGCTTTGCCGAAGAATTTCTTTGTGACTGTGTAGTAAAAGACAGCAACTGTTGGGCCGGGGAATTAGCTCAGTGTCTTCCTATCCTATCAGGATCTGTGATGACCATGTGCAGGGCATGGATCTGCCGTGCCTGAACAGCCTCGCTGGACATCTGGGACAGGATCACATTATTGCGCCTGTTAAAAAAACACATAAGAACCAGAGCCAGTAGAACTACTTTAAATGATATTAAGAGAGATGCAAAATCAGAAACACAGTAGATTACTTCTCGCTTTTCCACTCCACCCCAGGTCACTCGGAGCGGGCGATGCTGTATTCGGAACTGGAAGACGGGCTCTACACCACTGGTCCATATTACTTTGCCAAGGTGACTGACTGGTCAGAGGTGACAGCGAGTGTAGGCCCAAGAGAGCTGCACCACACTGTACAGACACCGCAGGAAAGAGTCTTCCCGAACTCCAGAGCTACGCATTCCCTGTGATTGCAGAGACCACCTTCTGGGGGTGGGGGAGGTTCAAAGACTGGCAGGTTTTAAAAAATTCTCTAGAAGGCTAGAAATGTGGATTGGGAATGATACTCTCTGGTCAGCAGTAACCTAAAAAGGAACTGATGTGGGCAGGCAGTTGTGATGAGCTCAGAGAGGGTATACAGCTCTCCCAAGGACACACAGGTACTAGGCCTGGGCAGGGCGGGGTGAAGACTTGAAGCCAGGTCTCAGGAGAGAAGATAGCTGCAGGCTGTGTGGGGGAAATGGCTCTGAACTGCCCTGTGGGGGAAAGTCGGGGGCGGGGAGCACAGGCTGTGCCCGGTGCATCCCCTGCAACAGCCTCAGTGCCAGGCTGGTTGGCATCATGGGGGTAAATGCCAGTGTTACGCATTTGAAAATAGCGCCAGGAATAAAGGCGTTGGCTCCATGCTTTGCAGATCCTTGGGGAGCTGCCAGAGCACTGCGCCTACGTCATCATCTACGGGATGCCCACCTACTGGCTGGCCAACCTGGAGCCAAGCTTCCTGCCCTTCCTGCTGCACTTCCTGCTGGTGTGGCTAGTGGTCTTCTGCTGCAGGGCCATGGCCCTGGCCGCCGCCGCCCTCCTGCCCACCTTCCACATGTCCTCCTTCTTCTGCCACGCCCTCTACAATTGCTTCTACACCACCGGGGGCTTCATGATCAACCTGAAGAACCTGTGGGCAGGTGAGGTCTCTGCCCCTGCCCGCTCAGCCTCTCTGGGTTTGAGCAGCGGGTAAAGCCCGCTTCCACCAGGCCCCACTCAAGGCCGGCAGAGTTGCCTCTGCCACTGTCCCGTAGGCCATGGCAGTGTGTCCAGTAAAGGAGGCAGGCAACACCCAGAAGCCACCCCGGGCCCTTCCCTCTCTGTATCACCAGTGGGCTGGGTCATTTCTACCTCCCGAGTCTTCCTTAGATGTCTTCTTGGCTCCATCCATGACACTGGGCTCTGGGCCAGCACAGTAGTCTGTTCTGTGTGACCTTGGTCCTTCTCAGAAGTCATGTGCACAGAATGAGCTTCCTCGGGGGGAACTCGGGCTGCTGGCTGCCTACCGCTTCCCCCAGATCTTGTGACACCACAACCTCCACCTCTGAGCCTGTCCCACCTCTTCTCACCTTCCCCATCACTTTTGTGAGCCCTTTGCTGACAGCCAGGAGGGACTCAGGCCTTCCTCCTCCTTTCTGGACCCTGATGCTCAGGCTCTGCCCACTCTAAACTGAGCGCTCTGGGAAGCTGAGCGCACAGGGACACCTCATCAACCCTCTAGAATTGTGTGGATCCTACATCTAGGTCACCCTGCAGCTCCTCTGCCTCCTCAGCTCCAATCCATGGCCCCAGCTGCCTCCTGTGCTGTTGCCCCTTCATCCCCTCCCTCCTCCTGGCTCCTCAGAGGGTTCCCTGGGGCGTGTTGCAGAGAGCAGGCAGCACCTCCTAAGGTGCTAGGACTGTGGGGCTGACCTGGCTCTTGCTGTCTCCAGTGCCTATGTGGATTTCCAAGGTGTCCTTCCTCCAGTGGTGTTTCGCAGGGCTGATGCAGATCCAGTTTAATGGGCGCCTTTATACTGTGCAGTTCGGAAACATCACGTTCTCAATCTCAGGAGATAAAGTAAGTAGGGAGGGCCTCAGATTCTAAATTAATGGGTAAATAATTGGACATCTTGACGAGCTCATTGAATGTTGATGTCTCCAGATGGTCAGTGATATGGACCTGAACTCCCAACCTCTCTATGCCATCTACCTCATCCTCATCAGCATCAGCTGTGGTTTCCTGTTCCTGTACTATGTGTCCTTGAGGTTCATCAAGCAGAAGCCAAGTCAAGACTGGTGATTCGCACCCAGACTCTTGCCCGCTGGTGGGGCCTCTGAGCAGACCCTTCCACAGCACTCCCTCCCCGCAAGGAGCGCCTCCCTGGGACAATGAGAGCCCTGAAGCTCAGCTACACCGGGCCCCCACTGCTGCAGTGGCACAGGTCAGCCACAGGATGGCAGTAGAATAAAGACAGTTGAAAAGGATTTCTGCTCACTGGCCAGAGCTTGTGATTGCCAGAGGGAGAAAACCCATACTTGGTGGCACCTACGATGTTGCTAATTTATTTCCTTTGGGTGTAACTTTATACAGGCAACTCAGTATAGGATGGGAGCGAATCAGGTACAAATCAAGTAGCTTAGCTATGCAGGAATTGCTAGAACCCAGAGAAAATGGTAATAAGAGCAAACGTTTAGCCTCATCTCCACCATCCCCATACTCTCGTTTAGCCACTCCAGTGGCCTAAAACATACCAGTGAAATGCCATCCCTTCTTTGGTATGGGCTCCAAAACTCAAAGTGAACAATTAAAACTTTATTGAGCATCTACTCTGTGTCAGGTAAACAGATGCCGCCGCTTATTCTCAGTACAACCCTTGGAGGTAGACGGTGTCCCATTTTACAGGTGAGGGCATTGAGGCTCCGACAAATTCAGTTTTCCGGGCTCACACAGCTACTGGGTGGCAGAGTCACACGGGGTTCAAAAGTGTTTGAGGCCTGTAGAAGTCTGAGAGCAGTGGGCAAAGCCTGAGCCACTAAATCTCGCAGTCCAGAAGAGGTTCTCAGAGGCTGCACCGGCCCAGCCAGGCCTCACGGTTGTATCTCAGTGGTCCTGGCTGGGACAGTGGCCAGAGGATGGGATGCTGCAGCCCCAGATCACCTACTTCAGGCCTGAGTGACCCCAAAACAGAAGCACCTGGAGCAGGGTGGGTTCTGTTCCCAAAGGAAAATGAGAGGCCAGAACCAAAAGAAGTGGGAAGGTGTAAGCATATGGGAAGGGAGGGGCACAAGTTCTCTGCAGTCCCTTTGGCCCTCACAACTTCGAATGTGAGCGCTGAGCCAGGATCTGGGGCTGGAGACAGGAGGCAGGAATCTCAGGCCCTACCCAACCCACTGAACGCGAATGTGCACGATCAGATGATTCCCTCAGTGGTTTGTATGCAGGTTTGAGTTTGAAAAGCTGTGCCTTAGCACACTGTCCCTTAACAGTCCACCTGTCCCACGGGGCACTTACATGGTTTCATTGCTCCCACCCCACTCGAGAGTCACTAAGTGTCCAATAGTGCTGTCGCTCATCAGGATGGGAATCGAGGGTTGTGCTAATTGTTGTCTCTGGTTTCCTTCAATTTGTAACAGTTCTTGACTTTCCTGACCTTGATGCATGAAGATTTTCTAGGATTCTCTCGATTTCAGTTTGTCTGATGTTTCACGATTGAGTAGAGGCCGTGCAGTTTGGCAGGAGTGTCACAGAAATGTCTCTGGCCCTTGTCAGAGCATCCTGTCAGGTGGCACATGCTTTTCCCTTGTCCTATGGTGATGTCTTCTTTGATCCCTTGACTGAAGGTGTGTCTGCCAGGCTTCTCCATGGTCAAGGTACAATTTTCTCTAGTTTTGTACTTAATAAGCATTTTATAGATAGACACTTGGGAATTATAAATTGCACATTCCTCATCCAGATTTCCATTTGTTAACTTTTTTATGGCTTCCAATACAGGTGTCTGATTTCTTATTCATTGTGTCAAAATATTTTGCTATCATTAAAAAATTTTTTTTATTATTTTGAGACAGGGTCTGGATAAACTGTCCAAGCTGGGCTTGAACTCGAAATCTTGCCATTTCGGCCAAGTGCTGGAATTATAGCTATGCACCACCACACCTGGTTTACTGACCTTCATTTTCATGCTGACATTGTTCCTGGCTTGGCCAGTGGGTGCCCCCTCCAGGCTGACTTCTACATCCTTCTGACAGGGCCCCACCATTCTCTGAGGACTCTGTGAGGCCTCAAAGTGTTTCAGGCTCATGTTGTACTTTCCCACCCAAGCCCTGGAGTTGGCTGTGTCTCTACAGACTATGTGGAGATAGCACAGATTTAATGGATGCTGGTAGTTAGAAGCCAAGATCTGAGCAATGCATATGTGAATTGCTGTTGGGCATCGTGGCTCCCGGGCCTCTCAGTGAGCAGTTAAGGAATGAGTCCGGGCACACGCACACACACGTGTGTGCATGCAACACAACTACAGATAGGAATTTATACAGCTAGCTTCCAGGTCCCATCGAGCAACAGAGTTGACTCAAATTTTCTTCCTTTTCCTATTCATGACGCTTTTCTCCAGCTTCGAGAAACCTGGCTTCCATTGCCCCCCACCCATCTCATTAATCTCCTGTCCATGCCCCCGCTCACCCCGCTGCCAGGCGGTCCCCGCGTCTGCACATCTGCCCTCCACACCCCACTCCAGCCCGCTCACCACTACTCTGGTCACCTAATGGCTGCAGGCTTGGATGGAGGACGGGCAGGAGGAAGAGGGCAATTTTGCACCCCCTGGGGATTCCAGGGTGTGGTGAGGGTTGCCAGCTAGGAGACACTGTCTGCAAAGGCTGTTGTCACTCGGTGGGCTTTGGGGTGCTGTGCTGTGTGTGGGGGCACAGGGGGACTGAAGCTGCTACAACTCAGCAACTTCTTTTTCTAGAGCAGTGAATGGTTCACCACTCTGGCTACCCCAGGGAGGCTTTACCCCGGCCAGTGTGGCCCCACTCCTGCAGTGCTGGTTCGACAGGGCTACGTCATGTAAAGCACTTGCCAGGCAGGTGAGGCCAGGAAAGGAAGGACTGGGCTCTGGGGCTATGCGTGTGGTTCCGTGAGCCCGTCATACACTGAGTGGAGTAGAATTTACTTTGTAATTCTAAAATGCAAGGGTTGCAGAACTTTCCCTGTGTCAGGTGGCAAATATTTTAGGCTTTGCGAGCCATAGTATAAGTCGTCTTTTTCACAATTACACCACTGCTGTTATGGTGTGAAATCAGCCCACCAGTGGTGCAGTATGGGGAAGAGGGCTATGTTCCAATAAACTACTGCTCAAAGAAACAGGCAGCTTGCTGAGTTTGGCTGAGGCTGTAGTGTGCAGATCAAAAGGTAAAGTTGTCTGAAATTTTCACTTTAAGCCCTCCAATTTCAAGTTATGCTATTACTGATGGAGGAATTTTAATTAAACCAAAAGGTATTACCAATCTTAAATATTAGGATTTTAAAAATAAACTGTTTGGTTCTTGTGGATTATATAAAATGTAATCTTGCCTAATCTACAGTTAGATCTTACACTTGCTTTTGTTTGCTTTTCAACAAGTCTTGTGTTCTCAGGCCAAACAGTCCGCAGCAGATATCCGATCCAAGTGTTCACAGACCTGGGGGTAGGGGTTCTGCTGAGGTCACGTTCATCTTTTGGCACAGACAGCCCAAGGAACCACTTTCTGCGGGCAGTTCCCATAGCCTGCAGCACCAAACAGCTCCAAAGTCAGCAGGCACAGGGTGAGTGGTGGGAGTATCTTGAGGCTTATTTGAAAAATATATCCAACGGGTTTATATATCCAGTAGGTTTAACTCTTAATTCAAACTCATCACCTTTCCTTTGTATTTGATAAAGTGACTGGCTCTTTACCAGAAGTAGCCTGCACAGGGGTTGGAGTGTAACTTGGTGGTGCAGCATTTGCTTAGCAAGTGCTAGACCTTAGGTTCAACCTGAATGAAAAGCCGCATCCGTGTCACCTGGTCCCTGCCGGAGGCAGCTCTGGCAGGGAAGGCAGGGAGGTGGAGTGCAGCCCTTTTTCTGCTGGGAGCTGGGAGCAGCAGCATATATTGTTCAGCAGCTAATAATTAAAACAATAATGTTTAAGCAGTGGCTTGAGGTCTTTAACACGTACCAACAGAGCGAGGCGTCTCTGCTCGCTAGGGAAGAGCGCCCATTCATTACAGGATTGTCTTGTCTTTTTTGTAAAATTGGAAGGATTCTTGTTTTCCCAAACTGCTTTAAAAAAAAAAAAGTCGGAAAAGGCTCTATTTGTTAATTCCAATATTGCATACATGGAATCCTTGCGCTGCGACTGGGCTCAGACTAAGGCTCTTTAATCACATTTATGAGGCTTCCTCCTTATCAAGTATCTGAGATGATCTTAAAAAAAGAAAAGGTTACTTTTGGTTCAGTTTTGGAGGATTCGGATCATCAGTTGGCCCTGGTGAATTTAGCGGGGAGGTTACTAGGGATCAAACTCTGGACCCTGCGCTTTCAAGGAAAGCAGCAGAACCACTGAGCTAATTCCTCAGCCCATCAGTGAAAATATTTTTTAATATGGGACCTAAGGACTTGTGGGGCTCACCTTCCAGTGTCTTATTTCTGAGTTGCAGTGGCACCTGTGACAAGCACGTGGAGGGAACCCTGATGCCCACACCACACCCCCACAGAGAACAGACTTGCAGAAAGGCATACAGGCCGGTGCTCATTGGTCACCTACTGAGGTGCACTGGGCCCTCCCAGTGCCTGGCTCTTTAACTGGGAGCGTGCGGCGAGAAAAACACAGGATGTCAGTGAGACTCCCGAGACTGAGGAAGATGTTCTTTCAGGTCTTTCAGGGCATTGGGGGGTGGGGGTGGGGGGAACGGGGACACCAGATCCCGGCAGCCCACCACTGTCCAACAAGTTTGGAGTTGGTTAAATGCTTTTACTTTATCTGGATCTGATGTTTCTTTTCTTCATGCAAAAATGGAAAAGATAAGTGGCTATTTGGAATTTGCTAATGCAGCCATTTCCTTTATTTGTACTAAGGCTGCATAATGTGGGCTTTGTAGTAGGTGGGCTTGAAAGCAGGATACATTTCTAATGGGAACACTCTTATGCATGATTGTACGACTGCAAAGCGATAAATTACCGTGATTTTGTACCCCCTGCTGCTATTAGTTCGACCACATTTGAGGAATTTTGCTTTTTACATGCAGAAATTCTACAAATATTGGCTTTTCAGAAAGACAAATATTAAATGAAAATTGTGCT